CCTTCCATGTTAGAGTTAGTATGTATCCCACAGTTATTAACAACACAAGTATACACCATAGAGAGATAATGGTACGTTTCAATACAGGGGGGAGTTCCACGTTGGTTGTTGTGGGAATATTCAGAGACACGTGACAGTCGTCAGCTTGAGACTCCATGTCTACAAATGATAAAGTCTGTCTTAATGACGACTATTTATACTCTTGGCACATACACAACGGGATCTTCCCCTGGAAAAATGCTGGTTCTGAGTCGTAGTTTGTCTTCTGTACGAGGAGACATGTCCAACACCAAATATCCATAAGGCTGTTTCATAGCATCAGTATATGCCTCCACTAATACACCACCCCGGCCAGGAAATAATTGTCTTCCAAGGGTCATTATCTGCGAGGTATCACGCACATTCTTGAACAAGACCAGGTACCACGTGTTCAAGGCTATGGTTCGTGCTGACTTGCCTTGACAATACAAGTTCTGAGTTATAAATATAACACTCAGAAGTCGATGATGACAGCCTTGTGTAAATAACAACTCCATGTCTTTAGAACTTAACACGTGATGTAAAAGATCATCCAGGATGATGAGCCCATGTTGTCCATCAGAGGAAAACTGTTCAATGTCTGCTTCGGTGGGTAATCCTTGTTGGAACACAAGATTTGGCACGGTTCTTTCCATGTCGTCAAACAGAGATTGATAAACACCATAACAGTACAATATTTTCTGGGGTGGATCCTTCACATACATGCCATTCACATGTTGCAACAGTTTATACACCCACTGCGTCTTTCCTGCTCCTGTGGGTCCAGACACACAAATACTGGAGCAGGGTTCAAAAGGTGTTAAACTCTGTGTTTCCCACCAAGGTTTAGTCGGATCAATCACAGCTTTAGGACTCCAAGTAATGGCTGACTTGGGCGTAGTGGGTTGAACTTCAGTCATTCTGTTCTTCTTCTTGAGCCAAGGTTTCTTTCCATCAGAATCTATCTTGTGTACTTGTGATAAATGATTGGATAGTTTTGAAAGTTGTTTTGCAGTACAGCCAGGCACAGGACAATCTTTCTTGACACGACCCATGTTGTGACTGCTCAATGGTTCCAGTTCAACTGATAAAACAACTTAGAGGGACACGTATATAGCTTGGGAGGACACTTCAGGGACACATGAGGGACACATGAGGGACACAGAGGGACACAGAGGGACACTCGAGGGACACAGACGGACACAGAGGGACACTTGAGGGACACAGAGGGACACTTGAGGGACACAGAGGGACACTTGAGGGACACAGAGGGACACTTCAGGGACACAGAGGGACACTTCAGGGACACATGAGGGACACAGAGGGACACTCGAGGGACACAGAGGGACACTTCAGGGACACAGAGGGACACTTCAGGGACACAGAGGGACACTTCAGGGACACAGAGGGACACAGAGGGACACAGAGGGACACTTGAGGGACACAGAGGGACACTTGAGGGACACAGAGGGACACAGAGGGACACTTGAGGGACACAGAGGGACACATGAGGGACACTTGAGGGACACAGAGGGACACTTGAGGGACACAGAGGGACACTTCAGGGACACAGAGGGACACTTCAGGGACACAGAGGGACACATGAGGGACACATGAGGGACACAGAGGGACACTCGAGGGACACAGAGGGACACTTCAGGGACACATGAGGGACACAGAGGGACACTCGAGGGATACATGAATGACACAGAGGGACACTTCAGGGACACAGAGGGACCCCATACAGCTTGAAGATTAGCTCAGAAGACCCAGTGAAGTAATAGATTGAGGGGTTGATTTGTTAAAACCACAACCCCTACAAACCATTACTATTCAATTACAATTCACGGGTCCTCCGGCCCGGTCTCTGATGATATGACATTGGTTGGCTGGTTGGCTGGTTGACTGATGGTTGGATGATTGGTTGGATGATTGGTTTTTTGTTTGATGTTGGGAAGTATTGGTTAGTTGATGATGGGAGGAAGAGGCTAATATCCATAAGGCAAAGGGTCCAAGTTGGGCTGAATGACCCGTTTGTTATAAACCATCTGGTACTTTTTCTTCTCTTCTCTATTGTAGATTTTCCGTTTCCTTTTCTCTCGTGAGATCTTGGAAGGATTGGTTACTATAATGGTTTTGTCTCTCTTGGGTGAAAGTACAATGTCCCGAATGGCTTCAAAATTGATGAGTTGGGTGTTCTTGAAATTCAAAGAAAACCCCGGACTTTACACACATGTTTCCCCTTTTAGTTTCATAACTATAATTCTTGGGCCCTGCAGACACAAACTCCTCAATGTAGTCATTATTGTCCAGTTCATTGGTAAGATCACCAAGATAATCTCCGAGTGGTGGCTTGTAATCATTGGGTTTGGCTACATAGATCACAGAATCAGTGTCATAATACAACACTTGTTGATCCAACTTTTCTAGGACACTGTATAACTTCAGTCTTGCCCAAGCAGTGGTGAATGTGGCCAAGAAGATGTTGGTCTTGTTATCTTCCGGGACAAAGTTAGATTTATGGTTATATTCCAACTGTAAAATCCGATCTGTCAGTATGTGAAAATCTGTCACTTCCTTGGTAGGATCTGTCAACATCTGGAAGAACTTTTCTGCTTCTGTGTCATGGATAAATTCTGATTGTTTCATGTTCAAACGCTGTCCAAATTTTCCCCAGAAACTGTTCAAACATAATTTAGCCAGGGATCGTAGTCCTGGGTTTTTTTTCTATGTGATCCTTGTCCAGTTGTATACCTTCCTTCTCTCTGTAGTCCGCTATGTATTTCTCCTTGTCATCTTCCGTTTCACACCATGCTGGCCATCCACTGGCTTGTTGTTTTAACTTCAAGAAGGTGTTGATGTAATCCGTAAACAATCCACACTGTCCTGTCTCAGGGTTGTACTGAGCTGTTTCTGACCAGTGGTAAATCTCATACACCTTGATCACTCTATATCCTTTCTCAATGGCTTTCACAATTTCAGGTGTACACCAAGTTCCTAGGATGGCTCTCTGCTCATCTGAATGTTCACAAGGGGTCTGTTGCTCCTCGTCAGCACAGGTACAACATAAAGGAAACTTTAGCTTGCCTTCAGATCGATAGGGGAGTACTGGATGATAGAGTTTTCTAGGCGGTAATATCTTCACCTTGGCAATTCCAAAATAGTGATCCAAAGACTGGAAATTCTTGTGAATGATTTGGGGATGTCCAATAGGGTACTGGCAATATTTGTTGACCCATGGGTAGAGACTTGTAAAGTCCACGTAATGAATTTCTTCACTATCTTTCACCTTGTAGTGAAGTGTACTGGCATTGGTCCTGCCGCCAAAAAAAGGAGTCACGTGGCTCTAAGCGATCCTGTATGTCCAGTGTACTGACAAAAACCTTCATGTCTGGTTTATCCTTTAATTGTTGGTGGAACTCGTGTTCCCAGATGGCAACCACTTTGTAGCCTTTCTGTTTCAACACCCATGATTTCTTACAGGTGAGAGCATAAAGTTCTTCCATAGACTGTTTGGTCCTGGGGAGTATGGTCGATGATCTGGCGTGTGGAAAGCATGTCTTACAACCATGGTAGCAACAACCATGGAATTCCAGTACTGTGTTTGTTTTGGGACAATAACCATCCACTCGGTAGTTGGTTCCAGACACCTTATGCTCACCTCCATTCAGGGCATGTTGTATGTCAATATTTTCTGAATGCATGATCCATTCTAACCATTGAATGGAAACTTTACTATATTGCCCATGTCCAACATACCCCTGACATGGTACTTGAGCAATGGCGCTTGGAACTGTTTCTGCTTCATGGACAATGATACCCCTCTTTTGAAGCTGTCTTTGTGACATCCACTGACCACTCTCGAGCTTGACATCACATGACCCATCTTCTTCTTCGGAGGGTCTGGAAGACATCCAGTTTGTGATAGTTTGTCCATCAGTCAGTCTGACATGTTCGTGAGGTTTCAGAAACTTGGTTTTAAATATGTTCATGCACAAGGAGGCTATAGTGATAGAGTTTGCAAAGGGGATCAACGCCCTCAATGATCTTTCCTTCCGTTTCCTCGCCTGTGGCCTCCATCATCAGTTGCTGAAACTTCAGACAAGCTTCTCTGAGTATAGTGACATCTGAGATACAGTACTCCTTCGTTTCTTTAGAAAAATCAAATTGTCCATGTTGTTGGCCGTACCATGACAAGAATGCATCTCTGTCTGTAGCTCCCATGTAGTCCACTCCATACATGTGAGGATCTGGAAAAGCTCCAACATAATTTTGGTTCTCCTTCAAATTGAACCAATGTGGGAAGTAACCCTTCTTCAGTTCTATCAGTCCAAAAGCTTTGGGTAAGGAGGCCAATTTCATTGGAAGAAAGTTGAGACTGTCTATGATTCTAATGTTGAGGCCTTTCTCAATCTGCATGTACATAATTTTAGAACCAGTGTAAATGATTTTGCTTGGATACATGGATTGATCTATCATGTACTCCAAAAGAAAGTATCCATCATAGGCTTTGCTATTGTGAGCAATAGCTGTGAAGTCTTTATGATTGCTACTGAAGAGCCATCTTGAAAATTCAATGTGAGCTCCATCTCCCTTGAAAATCACTTGACGAAATCCACAACTTTCTTCACAAGGAGGTTCCTTAAATTGTTTGGTTTTCATGTCCCTTGCATTACAGGCAGGGCATCTAGAACCACAGTGATGACATTTGGATTCCTCATCGACTGACTCTGTTTTGCAAACAGGACAGGCTGACTGAGCCACCAAGTAGTTGGGAACATGTTGACATTTACCACACCAGGATTGATGACAATGTTGACAAATAGATGACTGATGGGGACAGTTATCAGCAGGACAGGTAGGACAGGGCCCTTGTGGCGAATAACCTTCTTCACACATCAACTGTTCATCCTGTCGACATTCAAAGTCGTAAAAGATAAATTTACTCTTGGTCTCGTCCACTTCATTAGGTTTCTGGTAACAAAGATGATCTTGTTCCACCACTTCTTGACATCCAGGACATTTCCATTCTCCGCAGTGGTGTAATTTGGGGTCCCTTTCACTTCGACATAATACTTTCTTACACATGGTACATTTCCAGAAACTCTCACATTTTGAGGGTGTGTATGTACCATTCTTTACATTTCTTTTTCCAGTTTGGTGGCGCTGGAAACATTCAGGTGATCTACAGGTCATATGGCAATGTCGGCAAGTCAATGGAGTATCCGTTTCAGGACACTTTTGGCTATGGCATACAATGCAGGTCTCAGAGCAGGAATGATACAGTTTGTTATTGTAAGGTTTCAAACACCGCTCACAAAAATATGAGGCAGAGAAAAATCCAGTAATGTTGACAATGGCATGGAAATGAGATTGTGGTTTTTCGACCAGGTAGAGAAAGAGTTTGGGTTGTTCTGACTCTTGATCACCAACCCGGATAAACTTGTTCCCTCTTTCAGCGCTGACCACTAGAATCTGACATCCTAGTACTTTCTCGAAAGCTGGAATATCATTCAAATGACAGGCACGATCTGTAGGGATACCTGCCAATTTACATAACTTCAGGGCCAACTTTCCTTGATCATGGCGTGACTTTTTTGTTAAATCTTTAGAAAAATGTTTGGGACATTTCCGATACTGGAGTACTAAGTCTATCAAGGGTGTTTGAGTATGACCAATGAGTTTCTTCCAGTCATCTTGACTAATTTGATTAGCTTTGGCCCAGCACACAATAATGGCTCTGACCATACATAGGTTATCCTCGTTGACAATCTGCACTATGGATCGTTTCAGATGAATAGAGTTGTTTGGACCTGTGAGTTGCATTAAGGTCTTGTTGGATCGACCGCCTCGAGGTATACGTATGATTCCTATATCCACATGAAAGGAGACATTCATGGCTAGTTCTTCACGACTGTTTAACACTTTCTCAATGTGTTTCATGATCAGTTCTGCATGTAACTGGGACAGAGGTTGTAGAGGTACCACAATAGCCTTATTTAAGGCTTGATGATGGATAATGATTCTCCCCAAATCCCCTTCCTGAACATCATCAGGGGTGGCTTGCTGTAGAACCTCTTCAAACATATCCTGAAGCTCAGTGTACAAAGTCCTGAGACTTTGACCTTGCCATTCGTCGTTAAATTTGATCTCATAGGTTGTACTTATAGCTCCAGTCTTGGCAAAGGTCTTGGTGTTCTTCTTTGTAAAAGTATAGGGTTGAGTTTTAGGAGACCCAGCATCAGGGAGGGGGGACCCTACACCACCATACTGGTTAATAGTACGTTGTCTTTTTGGAGGATTGGAGTCAGTAGACAGATCTGTAGAACGCTTAGGGCAGGTCATCCTGTGTTTTCTGAGATCAGGCATTCTCCTAAATGTATTTCCACAGAAGGAACATGGTAAACCCTTCTGTCGTCGATCATTGGTTTTGTTTAATGTTGGATCAATACTCTCCAAGGAGGGACTGTCATTAGAGCTGAGATCATATAAAGAAGACATTTCTTCCATTTCCTCAGGGGTAAATTGAAGATCTTTTACCAGCTGGTCTTCAAGTGTTGCTATTGGTGTTGTTGCTGCAACGGACTGATCTTCTGTCTGTCTACACAGCAAGCATACAGACCTCATACCTACTCGCTCATCGTTTGACAGCCCGTGTTCTTCTGCCCACTTGATCAAACTGGCATAGTCATCAAAAGAATCTATTTTGGCCTGGAGATCCATCTGAAATAAAACAAATATTCACCCTGAACCATACTTTACAGTATTGTGTCATTTTCAATCATATTGTGGCAACATGCCAAATAAATAGTATGTCATTATTATTATTCATATATACACTTAAAATAAGACATCATTTAGAAATGTGAGCAGCCGTTTGGGATATGTAGCCGGTTTGGTTATGTGGCCGTTTTAAAAGTGTCGTTTGCGAACCGGTTTGACACAGAACCGGTTTTAGGCTGAGACACGTGTGTCCCTAAAACCGCGCGAAAATGTCTTTGTTCGAGTGATAGCACATGGGGACTTTGTCTGACTGAGAGCGCAGAGGTACAGGGGTGGTGCGACGTGTTACTCTGTGACTTGATGGATTATAATACACAAATGTGATGGATGTATTGTGGATTTTTTAACTCTGGACTGGTAAGTCGATCTATGCAGTGTCTAACAGTATTTCAAGCCGTTGTTTTCATGGTCTGGATGCCTTTAACGACGTTATGGGTGTTACATAGCACACAGAACGAATGTATAAGTTGATTTTCGTATGAATAGTGTATATCATGTACATTTTGTAATACATGCTAAGGTTGTGTTTATTCTATTTATTTTGTATTTCTGTACGTATTTCAAACAGGAAAAAAAGTGTTTGTCTTAAGACATGTTTTTTGGTGTCGGATTGTCCAGGTAGTTTGTGTTACATTCCCAATGTACGGAGCTCGAATTCATGTTAAAAATACTAACATTTTATTTGTGCAAGTCTTAAACATTCAATATGGCAGCCTGACACGCAATAGTGACATACTTTCATCCAGATATTTGGGGAGTTAAGCATGTTGTTGTCATTGTTTTGAATGCGAACGTTAAACATAGTACACAGAACGCATAATTTTCGCATGAATAGTGTATATCATGTACATTTGTGTGACACACCGAAGTTTATTCATATTACTGTGTTGGATTGACATAACACATGTTGCTCATTCTACAGGGATTCTAATATTCTGTATGCATAGCGATTCTACAGGGATTCTTATATTCTCCACAAACTATGATTTCCACGATTTTCATTTTTTATAATTTCAATAGTGTCATTGAGTTTCAAAATGGCGGCGGGGACGCGATCTATGATCTGGTTTCTTCAATGGGCGTGAAGGCCGTCATGCTTCTTGGGTCATTGAACGTAGGGAGAGGCAATGTTATGGCAGAATGACCATGGCACACCTCACTCGGAGGCTGTCGCAAATTAAAAGAAAGTATTAACATGGACACTCGGTAACATGTATTTGAAGTTATTTATTTTTCACTCCATTATACGTTTGTTTTCTTAATCTTCATGCTTGTGTGGGAGAGGGGATTCCCTTCCCGTAAACATAGCTTTGAATGGCTGTAGGTCGGACTTACGGGTGGGCAAATGAGTCATTCATTGTTGGAGTACAGTATGAATCAATCTGTTTCTTCACATGAATGGGTTACTTGTTTCAACCCCTCTAAACATCTAGATTTACCACCACTGTTTGCCTCAATAATGGATATACCTGCTGGACTGGATCTATCTGTTCATGGAACTATTCTAAGTGAAATTGTGCTGTTCATGGACATATGTGCTCATGGACGTATGTGTGCTGAGGATTTCCTATGGATCACATGAGGTAAGTTGCTTCAATTCTCTATTCTGATGTTAGTATGTTTCCACAAATGTGAAGGGTAACTTACCTTAATGTTCTGTTGATGTACAGTTGAGAGGCTGATGAAAATATATATCCAGTAGACAGTATAATCCAAGGTTGTTTAGTAATCCAGTGTACACAGTATAATCCAATGAGAAATGCACTCTGGTATATCCACAATGTGTGCAATCACTTGAATGTATATCCACTAATGACTTCAGAGACTGAGTATGACATGAGGCTGTTCGGGTGGACTTTATATACCCACCCGAGTTTAAAAACAGACACATCAGGTGTGCACACAATAGGTCTAACTATAGACCTGAGACAAAGACTGATGGTCTAAAAATAGACACACCAGATGTTCACACCATAGATCTCAATATACAATAGAGAGCAGTGACTCATCATCTAAAAATAGACTATGTGAAGTCTAACAATAGATTTTGACCCTATAAAGCCCCATAGCTAAAAATAGATTTTGCCCCCATAAAGGCCCATAGCTAAAAATAGATCTTGCCCCCATAAAGGCCTTGATACTACTTTTACTTGATTCTTATTGTTATTTGGGCCTGTTACTTAATGAACATCTAGATTATTCTAGAATGGCAAAGGCCGCAGCAAGTTCAGCCAGCAGAGCCCTAGGTTTGTTAATCTCCAAGTTTAAGCTCATTGGTGGTATGGAGTACCGATTGTTTACCAAACTTTATGATTCCATGGTGTGGTCTGTTTTAGATTATGGCGCATGTATATGGGGAACACAAAACATGTCATGTGTGAACGCTGTGCAAAACCGTGCATTGCGGTTCTATTTGGGTGTGAAAAAGTTTGCACCCAACGCAGCTGTGAGCGGTGACATGGGTTGGACTCCCCCTATCGTGCGCCAGTGGGGCAGTGTTGTCAGATTTTATATACGTCTTTGTAACCTGGATCAATATCGACTAACGAGCAAAATTTTTCTTTGGGGTAACCTTTGGGCTTTTAGAAGAAAAAGAACCTTAATTTTAAAATTCATAAAAGTTAGCCAATGTTGATCTTGAGCACTTTATTTCCCCACTAATAGTTTTAACTCCAGGTTTATTGTACAAAGTGTTATGCAGAAATTATTTGATACTTATAGACATGAGTGGAAGGAATCGGTAGGGAATACCTGTGGTCCATCTAAACAGGGGCAAATAAGCTACGCTTTTATGGTACTTTTAAGGATGTTTATACCCCAGAATTTTACGTAACTCATCCCATGCCCCGCCCATACAGAAGTGCATATGCTAAGTTCAGATCCGGCACTGCACCAATTAATATTGAGCTGGGTAGATACAACAATATTCCACTCAACGACAGAAAATGTTTTTATTGTAAACACTGTGTTGAAGACGAAGTTCATGTTTTAATTAATTGTCCGGTTTATAGGGATGAACGTTTTAGTCTTTTAAATACTTGTGATAGCCTATGTCAGAATTTTAGTAATCTTACTGATATACAAAAAAACTGCTTTTATCCTGTCCAATAGCAATATCTGTTTTATAGCTGCCAAAACCTGCCATGTTGTTTTAAAAAGGAGAAAATCCGTATTATATAACTTTTAATTATTGTTATTCATAATACATGTACATGCAATTTTTAAAGAATTTTAGTCTCTCATAATTCCGTATGGAATGGCCCTATGTAAATATATGTTTAATTAGTTTGTATATATGTATAACAGGGGTGAGACTTTAATAAATAATCTGTCTGTCATCTGTCTGTAAAGAAAACTGCTCCCTTAAAGTTAAGCCCTTGTCTCTCCCCAAACACAACATAGCCTCAATCAAAAGTGTTTAGTCGCTGTTCAGCTCGGCTTGGCCCGTGCTGTCAAAACACCTTAAACCTCACACATATATCTTGATTTGTGTTATATCTACCTACATATCACTTCACAGAGTCTCAAATCGTAGTATTTGAAGCAAAAACGTCGCTGAAAGTGAAGCCCTATTTTCTCTACATTCTCAACAAAGACACAGTATCACAAGCTTTCGGTCCGGCTTGGCCTGGGCGCTCAAACGCACCTTATACCTCACAGATGTATCTTGAAATGGGTTTAAATCCATAGATTGGTATTATATCTACCGAAATATCACTCTGTAATGTTATCAAATGCCACATGTAAAGATAACTGGTTCGTTAAAGTTAGCCCTTTTCTCTCTCCATTCACAATATAGTCTCAATCAAAAGTGTTTAGTCTCTGTTCAGCCCGGCTTGGCCCGTGCTGTCAAAAACAACTTAAAACCTCACACATGTATCTTGAAATGTGCTTATATCCATAGATTAGTATTATATCTACCTACATATCACTTCACATTCTGTGCACAATCCGACATTCTTGAACTGTTTATTACCTTAAAGTTCTCCATGTCCCACAAGAGATCGGGAATGTCAGCCACCTTGGTTCCGGACAGTGACCTTGTCACGATCCCTTCTTTCTGCGTATAACGTCCAACATACTTCAGTAACGAGTCGCCAACAAGTAATGCAGACATTTTCAGATCAGATGATTTGAATTTAGGCTGCCCAGCTTGGCCAGTTTTATATGGATGCATTTGGAGAAATCTAGGCGAGACACTGTGGATTTAATGAAAACATACTTCTCCCACTTCTCTCTCTAATACTTCTATTGTCTGTATGCGTGTTCAGGAAAACAGGATTATCTGAAACGCTTTAAAGTTTACAACATCAGGAAACGGCATCTCAGAGTAACCTTTGGCAAAGCTCTCACAGTGAAAACAATGTTCTCCCGAGCCTGAGCTGGGCAAGACAGTGTCATTGCCGTGGATGTGTTTTCATACTTTCGTATGTTCAAATTATATAACCATAACATCTCATACGGCAAGTCATTTTAGCTGATACCTTCTGATATTTATTAAATTACTGATATGTTCAAATCATGTCATGAATAGCTTCAGCCGGCTATCTATATCTGTACTAGTATGAATTGATGTTTATACTGTGGAAACTGTACGGAGAACATCCTGTATTCTGAAACCACTAAAAAAAACCCACCTCTTTCAAGCATTTCATGTCATATAATTGGGTATAATATCTTCTGATATTTATTAAGTTAAGTATATGTGTAAATCATATCACGAATAGCTTCAGCCTGCCATCTGTATCGGAACTAGTATTCATTAATGTTTATACTCTGGAACATAACACGAGTGGAAGCATAAATAATTATATATATATATATATAATTATTTATGCTTCCACAGCCTATATATATAACAGAACAAATGTCTCATTTTGAGCATTACTAATTTAGTCAGTGATTACATGCCCCTCTGTGATAAACGTTATGAAGAAACGGTGGAGTAATAATAAATAACACTGAAGGCCCCTGAACGGTAATTAAGGGCAACAATGGAGTATGTTAATTGAATCACAACACCTAGCTGATTGCAATTAGTCAAGGGGCAATTAAGCAAGCTGGATACAGGTGTAATTAGCAGGTGTATTAATTTCATTAGCCCGCACAGAGCCAGATTGAACACTGGGCTTCACTTTAAGCAACGTGTTAGATTCAAATACATGTACAAAGCTTTGAGCCTCAATAAAGACGTATTTAGGTAGATATAATACTAATCTATGGAATGAAACACAAATCAGGACATATGTGTGGGGTTAAGGTTGTTTTTGAGAGCCCGGGCCAAGCCGGACCGAAAGCATGTTATACTATGTGGTTGTTGAGAATGTATAGAAATTAGGGCTTCACTTTAAGCAACGTGTTTGTTTCAAATACTACGCTTTGAGACTCTATAAAGACGTACTTAGGTAGATATAACTCTATTCTAGATATATAGACAGAAATCAAGATACATGTGTGAGGTTAAAGGTGTTTTTGACAACACGGGCCAAGTCGGGCTGAACAGAGACTAAACACTTTTGATTGAGACTATGTTGTGAATGGAGAGAGAAAAGGGCTTCACTTTAAGGGAGCAGGTTTCTTTACATGTGGCATTTTGTAACATCACACAGTGATATTTAGGTAGATATAATACTAATCTATGGAATTAAACACAAATCAGGATACATGTGTGAGGTTTAAGGTGTTTTTGAGAGCCCGGGCCAAGCCGGACCAAAAGCATGTTATACTATGTGGTTGTTGAGAATGTATAGAAAAGAGAGCTTCACTTTCAGCAACGTGTTTGCTTCACATACTACGCTTTGAGACTCTGTGAAGTGATATTTAGGTAGATCTAACACTAATCTATGGATATAAACACATTTCAAAATACATGTGTGAGGTTTAAGCTGTTTCTGACAGCCCGGACCAAGTCGGGCCGAACGGCGACTTAACACTTTTGACTGAGGCTATGTTGTGTTTGGGGAGAGAAAAGGGCTTCACTTTACCGAACCAGTTATCTTTACATGTGGCATTTTGTAACATCACACAGTGATATTGAGGTAGATATAGTACTAATCTATGGAATTAATCACAAATCAGGACATATGTGTGGGGTTAAGGTAGTTTTTGAGAGCCCGGGCCAAGCCGGACCGAAAGCATGTTATACTATGTGGTTGTTGAGAATGTATAGAAATTAGGGCTTCACTTTAAGCAAAGTGTTTGCTTCAGATACTACGCTTTGAGACTCTATAAAGACGTACTTAGGTAGATATAACTCTATTCTAGAGATATAGACAGACATCAGGATACATGTGTGAGGTTAAAGGTGTTTTTGACAACACGGGCCAAGTCGGGCTGAACAGAGACTAAACACTTTTGATTGAGACTATGTTGTGAATGGAGAGAGAAAAGGGCTTCACTTTAACGGAGCAGGTTTCTTTACATGTGGCATTTTGTAACATCACACAGTGATATTTAGGTAGATATAATACTAATCTATGGAATTAAACACAAATCAGGACACATGTGTGAGGTTTAAGGTGTTTTTGAGAGTCCGGGCCAACCGGACCGAACGCTGTGATACAGTGTCTTTGGTGAGATTATGTAGAAAAGAGAGCTTCACTTTCAGCAACGTGTTTGCTTCACATACTACGCTTTGAGACTCTGTGAAGTGATATTTAGGTAGATCTAACACTAATCTATGGATATAAACACATTTCAAAATACATGTGTGAGGTTTAAGCTGTTT